ATTTTCACACAGAAAACTTGGAGAAAAGAAAATTAAGAGAATCCAAATTTATTTAAAACACAATTCAAACTGAAACAAAGTCATGATCTGTAGGCTTTGTATGCAATCCAAGACAAACCTGTTTTTTAATTTTTTAAAAATTATATGACAGAGCATTAGTGAATTCTAAAGGACTGAGGCGATAACTTGATTTGCCTGATTCACATTTACCAAAGTTTTGAGTTCTAAGAATCAATCTCATATTGCAGTTATAGATAGTAGTGCTGTGCAAAGCTTCAGTCGCTGATTCGATTTGGCAGAGATTCGTCAGCCTAATCTCCAAATCCGAATCGAATCAGGAGACCCTTTAATCTCTTTGAATTGAACTGGAAGCATCTGAATCGATTCGGAGAGATTCGACGATTCAGACATAGGCACAGCTTTATATGTTTTTTTCTACATACCTCAAGCTACTAGGTGGCTCGTGAATACTGAGATGGTGGGGCAGATGGAGCGTCCCACAGGACTGCAGGCCCCCCTATCTGCTCAGCTAATAGCTAGAGCTGTGCAAAGCTTTGGGTGCTGATTTGATTTGGAGGAGATTTGGCCTGATTCGGCAGCTGAACCTCTAAATCCAAACTGAACTGGGAGACCAATAAAAAGGTCCAAATCGATTCGAAGCTCTACGAATCAAGTTGGAAAAGATTCGGAGAGCTTGATTTGGAGATTCGGGCAGCCCCCACTTGCTGCCGCAGAGAGCTGGACCTGGATTCTGTGCCAGTACGTAGGAGGCGGAGGGGGAGGGGGCCATGAGGGGACCCCCGCCAGGCCCCATCCTCTGCCTGTGCACCCAGCCCCCTTGAGCACCCCCCTGACTAAAGAAAAAAAATGAAAAAAGAAAAAAATAATAAAAAAAAAAGAAAGAGCTGGGACACTGAGGCTGGGGGGGGGCAGCCATTGACTGGGCTGAAAGAGCGGGAGGGAGATGGGGCCTGTTTGATTCAGCGATTTGGCTGACTTGGCACTGGCTGAATCTCCAAATCAGATTCTGCCGAATTGATTTGGGATAGTGATTCGAATCACTGTCCCCCGAATTGGCCGAAGTAAATACTAGCTGCTTTGCACAGGCCTAGTTGTAGCATCAGGATCGCACAAATAATCCCATAGAATAGTTTTATGCTTTTCTCCCAAAACGCAAAATACCTTTTCAGGATTTTAATTAGATCACATGACTCCCAATGAAGTGAATGCTACAGATTTTAAACAGATGCTATACAAAAGGGAATGCATGTTTATTATCATTAGAAAGGACACTGAACCAAAGTCTTATGGCAGCATCAGCCATACAAATCCCAAGCAGTATGACAGTATAGATCTCATCCAGGCTCCATAACATTCTCAAACTACTTTTAAGTTAATTTTGGCCCAGATCTGCCAAGGACTTCCGCTGAAGTAGGAGCTTGCAAGATCAAGGCATTACAGGAAGCTAATATAGTTCCAATGGACCTCAGTTCTAATTTTTCTCTGTGTTGTAATTCATTGGCGTTATAATTTTTTTTGTTCTGACCTTTCAGTTTTTTCTTTTTCTTCTTCTTTCCCTTCCCTAACTTATTAGTGTCTGTCACTAATAAATTAAAGTTGTCTTTGTCCTTTTAAAGATAACTTCTGTAAAAATTAAACTTACATCATCCTTAAAAATAAGCCTGATGATAGTGCTGAATGAATGAAGGTGAAATTGGAAGAGTTTTGCAGTTTAAGATTGTTTGGCTTAGCCATGTTGACAACTTCCTTTAATAGAATTAAAGATGTCTTGCATAACCACAACTGTTTCTTCACTAATGTTATACTAAAGGCTGCAAAATAAGTCTTCCCCAGTAGCTCTTACTTGAATGGTGTGTTTTCAGGCTCAAGCATTGCTTTGTTGCGCAGTATAGCTGGTCCAGCTCCTACAGCAAGGTCAGTGGGATAGGTATTGATGTAGTTTGGTGGTGGGCCTTCAAACTGATCCATTCTCTCCTGAAGCAACTGTTCCCAGTTTTCCAAATTTTTAATTACAGCAATACCCAATGGCGATGTAACAGGCAGATCTGAAAAGCAGTGTAAAACATCTTTAATATCAACGCAAGTAAGTGAAGGTTATGGAGAAGTACAAAGATAATATTAAAAAGAATTATTTTCTTCCTTGTATTTAGCAACCCACAGTAGAATTTGTTCAGATACAAAAACAAATTAGAATGCTATTGCTGACAATTAAACAAATGTAAGTATGTGTGTTTTATGTACTTTAGCAGAACATAAAGAGAAATGCAATCTTTCACTAAATAGACGCATTAAAAAATCCTGAAATGAAATGTACACTTTTACTTGTTACCAACTCTGCAAAATTAAAACTTATACATAAGGACAAATTTATACATTGTGTAGGACAATGATCTTTGTTAACAGAAAGTATAGAGAAATATAAAATGTAAGGCAAAATTTAACTCACCAGAGAATTCCAAACCAACAACGGGGAAAAAGGACTTAATGTTGTGCAGAGCTAGTTTTACCATTGCCAAATGTAAGAGAGCCCAGCTGCATGAAAAGAATGGTTTCAATGGTAATTCAATCATAGCTTGTGCCACGAAACCACATATATAGATAAGGCAAGAATTTACAAACACAATGAAGAGTCTTAGAGGGGTTTGAAAATTACAATGATGGAGAGTAAAATCTCTAAATATTTTTTTTAAGTCTCTCTCTTTGGGAGTTCCTTACTGGCAGCCAGAGGATCTTTCTCTTTTCCAAACCCCAGATCATGGTACTCTGCCTCTCTAGAAGAGAAAACCTAGAAAGTTATCATTGTGTTTAAGAATGGGACTTCTGCAAGGTCAGGAATTAAATGGGAACTCCCAAACTACTAATTACAATGCAACTTACAAAGCTTTCTATAAATTTAAAGAAGCCATGTAGTAGATATGGTGTTCACAAAATAAGACTCGATATAAATGTCTCTATATAATAGAACACAGTAGCTATGCATACAGCTTATTAGATTTAAAAAGACAGATTTATACAATTTAGAAAGAAGGCCTTTTTATTTTCTTTAATTTTCATAACGCTTACAACCTATGCTCTTGTATCATTTTTTCTAGCGACTTTTTCCTTTTTAAATTTCCTACTTAATCCCAGACATAAATTAATTCAATACATTAAATATACATCATATTTCCAGTAGGACTCTAATTCTGTAAGACTCTAGCATTAGCATCAGGGGAAGCCATAATGATTGTGTCTCCATGCCAGATCAAGGTTACAAGTGAAAATGCACAGAAAAAAAGACACAACTCCATTACCTGAAATGTCAGTACTAAGGTATAAGTTAATGTGACTTCTAATCCAGTAGTTAAAATTCTTCAGGCCAAATGCTGATCTAAGGCCTTTACAACTGCCCCCTTTTAATATTGTTTCCATATAGGTATTGGATATAAATAGTTTGTAATTTCAGAAAAGAAGCCTTATATCTTTTTTTAAAGAGACAATAAACCTGTAACGTGGATTTTTTGTTAACTAGTGTGTCATTTCAACTAACCTATAAGCATCAGCATCTTTGTGTTCCTGGATCTGTGCATCAGAAAGGAAAGCATCTTCATCTTCTTCCTCACTATGAATGCTTTCATCTGAATCATATATAAAACCACTGTCTGATAAAGGAAGAAATGGCTGCAAATTAAGATAAAAATCTGTTATAAAAATAGCTGTCAATAGCTGTCAGTATTTTTAATATCTGCCTTACAATTTAGATACTGACAGAGATGTATATCAACCTGCTTTTACTACTCAGGGTATGTATACATAGTGGTATGTCTAGAAAGCACAACGTGGTGCTGTGTAGCAGTACCAGGGGCATTTCCAAAGAGGTTCATCTCAAGAGAGTTAATTCGCCCAGATGAAGTGCCATGAAAACTGTACTTCTTTCAGTCCTTGAAGTAGCTCAGGTACCTGTGCAAGCCCTACATTTTACCAGGCACACCTGCCCTTAGTGGTTAAGCAGCTTGATATGTTAATCTGATAAAACAGTTCCATAGAAAAACAAGCATTAGAAAGAAAATAAAATGGC